CACCCTCACCCCTCCCCCTCCTATCTCAATCCCATCTTTCTGTCGCCTGGACACACACTTCCTGTCTCCCCTTCTGTCTCCCCCGTCTCCCCTCTGCACATTGAGAACCCCCCCCTCCCTGTGTCCCTGTCACCTTCACCCTCAGCCGTGCTGGGGGGGGTCAGAGCCTCCAGGCATCCCCCCCCCGCCCTGACATCAGCCCCCCCGTCCACACACACACACATGTCCCCGTCCTCGATCACTCAGGCCACTCCCACAAATGACCACACTCGACCTTTGACCCAGGTAATTATGATGGGATGTTCTGACCTCAGTCTGGGACGGTTTGTTACAGTTAGTACTAATGTGTGTTTATAAACCAGCAGCTGTTGACCTTTGACCCAGAGAACACAGACCTGGTTTTGTTCTGAGAGGTTCTCCACCTTCTCTCCACCTTCTCCCCCCCCCCCCCCCGCCCCCCCCCGCCCCCCGCTCCCCCCGCCGCCAGTGAAGCCACCGGTTGAATCAACGCTTGGACACTGCGGCGCTTCCTGCGCTGTCCATGGTGCTGAACGGGCAGAGCGCTTGATCCGTTTGTATTTTCACGGCTGGACGTGAGAGACAAGTGATTAATTGAAGTCGCGCAAAAGAGGAAGACAAACAGGAGAGAAATTCAAATTGTTCAGAACGCCGATCACTCCTCTTGCCAAAAATCAATCTGGTGTGGTTTTACGTTCGACCAATCAGAGTAAAGCACATTTCCCACCCACCCCCGGGTGGGAATTCTACTGTGGGAATTATGTTTTTTTTTTTATTTGACACATCAGGCAATGTGTGACTCCGGATTTCACCCAAAATCATTCATGCAATTTTAACAGTTAGTGTAGTAGAACTGAGGTTCAGCTATTTGGTCTTCTTTTTTTTAGTCCTTTTCTGCTGTAGCCCACATGCAGTGAAACCCATGGTTCGTCTTTCACTGCTGAGGTATAAAACAGGTATAAAAGGTATAAAAGAAAGAATAGGTATAAAATAGTAAGAAGCTGGAAATGCGTGCAAACAATGGGTTATTTGATTTCCATTGGCTTTTATTATTTTCTAAGAGCCCCAGGCATAATTATAATCAACAACTCCATAAATTTCTCCAGGGACAATCAATGTCAATACTTGAAAGAGTGGACACTCGCCCAGAACTCCTCCCTGAGCCGGTCCAGCCACCTCTGCAGAATGGAACCGATCCTGGAGCAGCCACCAGTTTTGACACCAGTTCCCTGTACCAGGTGACCCTGCAGGCCCAGGGTCGGGGCCAGAGCCAGAAACCTCTCAGTTCTGTAGGGGTCACAGGTCAGGGTCCCACGGAGACCGGCGCCGAGGTACCAACACAGAAGTCTTTAATGGTCTCGGCCCAGGACTGTGACTCTGGTCAGACTATGTGTATCTGTTTCAGGACCAGGTGACGGAGAAGCACACGGCAGGACAGAGCTGCGACAGGTACAAACCTCAGTCGTCAGCGATGACATCACATCCTGTGACGTCCAGATGGTCTTTAATAGTCTTTGATTGTTTGGACCAGGAACCATCGTTACTCCATGGTTTACAGTCCATTCAGTTCTACAGCGAGGTGCATTTAAACACAGGTAACCATGACGACGCTGAACGTCACCCACTAGACAGAAGAGAGAAGAACCTGGAGGAAACCAGTGAAACCAGTGAAACCAGTGAAACCAGTGAAAGTCACAGGACAACGTGTCTGTGTCTCATAGATCAGTGATGTAATAATAATAGTCACCACCAGGGTCATGAACCAGCGTGTGTGTGTGTGTGTGTTACTGGAGGTCAGGATGATAAACACCTGTCTTTCTGACCTCTGACCTCTGACCCAGTGTCAACTCTGATGCCACCTCTGGGAAGGAGCTGAGCGACGGCTACGAAGGGACGCACGGCTGCAAAGGTGAAGCCAAAGTCCGCAAACACCATCGCAGGTCCACACGAACACGATCTCGTCAGGAGAAGACCAGCAGGCCCAAACTGAGCATGCTCAATGTGAGTGTCCACATCCAGGGTCACGGTCGGACCTGGGGGGGGGCACGTGTGTGTAACAGATGCTCAGTGGCGCCCTCAGCTGACTGTAAATGTCTGCTCCCCCAGGTGTGTACCACAGGTGATAAGATGGTGGAGTGTCAGCTGGAAACCCATAACCACAAGATGGTGACCTTCAAGTTTGACCTGGATGGAGACGCACCAGAGGAGATCGCTACCTACATGGTAGACAGGGGGCGCTGTTTTTCTTGTCCTAAATGTTGCTCTCAGTCTTTACGTGTGTGTGTGTGTGTAGCTGATTGGTCTCAGTCAGTCATTCACTGTATCTGAATCTGAGGAGGGGTCACACCCCCCCACCCCCTCCCTGACTGTCTTCTCCTCCGCTCGTCCTCAGGTGGAGAATGACTTTATTTTACTTTTGGAGAAAGAGATGTTCATCGAGCAGCTGAAGGACATTGTGGACAGAGTGAAGGACATGCTGAGCGAGGACATCGAGGGCCGGACCACGTCAGATCAGAGCTGGAACAAAGAAAATGAAGGAGGCGACGCCACGAGGACTGAGGTGAGAACGGAACGGCCCAGAAGAGAAGCCAAAAAGACTGACATGAAAGTTTAATTTCACTCAGGTTCCAGGTAAAATTCATGGCCTTCAAACATTTCTGTCTTTTTCTTTGGGTTTGAAGGCGTCAGCGGCCAACGCTGCACAGCAGGTTTACCAACAGAACGGTAACGGCTCCTCACTTCATATTTACTCTTATTATTATTATCTATAAGATGAGTTCAGTGGTGGGGGGGGTACTGAGACCACCTGTCTGTCCTTCACAGTCCTTCACACTGGGAAACGCTGGTTCATCATCTGTCCTGTGGCTGAGACGTCAGACAAAGACAAACGTCCACCTCCAGGTCTGTAACATCATCGTCTTTTATTTATTTAGGGTAAAGGGGGCGTGGCTGAGTTCATGGGGGCGTGTCCGACGAACTGGTGTGTTTAAGACTGTGACAGTTACATGAGACCGTGTGGCTCTGGTACTGTTGTCCAGGTGGATTTACACCCTGCTGGTGGAATGACTGAACTGTTTTTTTTTTCTTCTTTCTCCACCACCTCAGACTCCGCCCCCCTGACGGTCAGCTCCACCTCCGACCCTGCCGCGGTTTCATCCTCACCGTCCTGCCTGACGTCGGTCCAGACTCCAGAACCAAACCCGGTCCAGCCTGTGGTCCAGCAGGAGCAGCCAGGTGTTAAAGACCAGGCGGTCGGACGTCAGACCCCCCCTCCTGTGGACGAGCTCTGTATGTCCGACATGCCCTGCTGTGCGGTCGTGCCCCCCGTCTCCGTAGAGGTCGCTCCCTCCGGTTCAAACGTCTGCGGCGAGTCGGGCTCCTCTCAGCCTGACGAGAAGGTGGGAGAGCCCCCCCCCCCTCAGCTCTTCTCCCATCAGGCCGTGGTCCTCCAGCAGCCCCATGCCACGCCCATGCAGCCTGGCACCGTGACATCACAGCCTCAGAGTCCGGCCCACCTCAGCTCCCAGAATTCTCAGTCGTCCAGCCAGCAGCCGTCTACGGGGGGGGCGCCGGGGGAGTCGGACAGCGAGGGACCGCGGAGGGTGGAGTTCGTGGACCGAACCATTAAAACGCTGGACGAGAAGCTGAGGAACCTGCTGTACCAGGAACATCCACAAACCCAGGCCTCGAACGCCACCTCTGACCCCCAGGCCTGCTGCAGCGAGGAGGCCCACTCCCCCACCGTGTCGGAGAGACAGGTCACTGAGGGCGTGACCTTACAGGTGAGGTGAAGGTTACTGTAGAGTTGACTTTAACTGAGACCAAGTTTAAACCTGTGTCAATGTCAGAGTGACCTGAGGTCAGGGGAGGTCGCTGACCTGACTTAACAAACTCCTGCCCACCCTCTCACCCACCCTCTCACCCCCCCTCTCACCCTCCCACCCACCCCCTCCCCCACCTCCCCTCCTCCACCCCCTCTCGCACCACCGCAGCACCC